TTTGTAGTTTTCACTTGAGACTCACTTTAATCAGATTGCTGTACGATGATGTACAAGTCCAATCCTCAAATGCCTCACCACCCTTTAAAATTTGCAATGCGTTTACCCTGGACAAGAATATATAATCTATTTAACTGATGGTGTAATATTTCAGATATTTGAGAAAATAACTTCTGGCATGTACTTGGGAGAAATTTTACGCAGAGTTCTACTTAAGATGGCTGAAGAAGCTGCTTTCTTTGGGGACGAGGTCCCGCCCAAACTTAAAATTCCTTTCATATTGAGGTACCCTAAAGACTCACTTTCATTGTTGTAAGATGATAGATTTTGAAAATAACATGCATCTCACCAAGTCTATGTTTGGCAAGTGTATATAAACAAATAGAAATTAGTGGTGGAAAAATGGGTAGTATTTGTGGGTCCCATCAAATATGTGGATAAAAAGTTGTTTGACTTTTAGCTAGAGTTAACATACATGTTTATAAACACTTGCTAACATACTTCAAGTCAGATGCCATCCAGTTTGAAGTGCTTTGTGGAATCAGTGTTTTTGGCTTAATATTGATGGTGTGATTAATTCATTTCGCACTATGTTTGTTCACTTATACATTAGTATATGGGTAATGCTTTCAATATATTCTTACAAAACAAAAAGAATAAAATATATATATGTATAATCTGGGATGGATTTCTAGAAACATTTATTAAATGGTTTTTTCATCACGGGGGCTAAACTGAAGCTTGAAGAATTACCCATCATCATTTCATGATATTTTTCTTTGATCTGTGGAACCAAAAATGGAAATAAATGAAGAGGAAAAAATGAGGCTGCTAATGCAACAAGAACTCAAGATACAATTTGCCTTTAGAAGGTTAGTGCAAATCATTGCCTGCACTACACTATAGGCAGGCATCCACCTTCGCATCCGATTGGATTGATTTCATTTGAGGATGTTAGTACGTTATGAGACTCTACAAGATAACGGACAGGATTTTTGCTTCTTCTTCTTCTTCTTTTTTTCCTTGTTCAGTAATGTACAGTCAAATACACAAACGTGCTATCATTGTATAATCTTGATATTGCTTTCTGTTTAAAGGCCTTACGCAGACGTATTCTCCTGTCAGCTATCCTTTTCATGCATGAACTCGCTTTGATTTTTTTTTTCAGATTTTGCGTTTCCCATAATTACATGTTATATTTTTATGGAATTGATACTCTTGAAATAAGTTAAATCTGAAACTATATAATTATGCAGGACGCCGGAAATGTCAGCAATGCATCATGACATGTCCTCTGATCTTAGGGTGGTGAACAACAAACTGAAGGATATACTAGAGGTATATTTTATGTCCTTACTAAAACACTGCCTTTTTGTTAATTGCATCTAATTGTTCCATTTTTTTTCTACTTTTTTAGCTTATGATGAAACTTGGAGGCCATAATTTAAATTGAATTTTTGATTCCTGGTTGAATGCCTTGTAGTATTGTGGCTTAGCTGTTATATATTTTCTAGTTACAACGTCTAACTGGGGTCTTAGTAAATCGTTCCGCCGTTGGATAAAAATTTGAGTGGTCAAGGAGCCTAAGCGAACTCTTGAGCACTTTGCAGAATAAATTGTTGATTTCTTTGCATAATATACATTTTATGTCTTCTTAGTGTATACATTCATAATGTTTTTCGTTTGTCTTCTACCTCAGATATCTAATTCCACCCTGAAAACTAGGAGAGTTGTCATTGATCTCTGCAACATTGTTGCCACCCGCGGGGCCAGACTTGCAGCTGCTGGGGTTCTGGGCGTCCTAAAGAAAATGGGACGAGATACTTTGAGGGAAGGTGGGCCCCAGAGGACTGTCATAGCCATGGACGGTGGACTGTATGAGCACTACACTGAATACAGGAAGTGCTTAGAGAACACATTGAGGGAGTTACTCGGGGAGGAAACTGCATCAAGCATTGTAGTTGAGCACTCCAATGATGGTTCGGGCATTGGGGCTGCTCTTCTTGCAGCCTCTCACTCCTTGTACCTTGAAGAGAATTCGTAAGTAAATCACAAACTTTTCCCGAGGAAACTTCATCCTGAAGCTACTTTTTGTATCATCCTGAACGTAAATGTAACTTCAAATTTCGCCATTGCTTAGGATGTATTTTCTATTTTCTCAAGACATTTCTGGTCATTAGTTTATCCTCGCATTTCATAGTTTAGGAATCAAATATTTATGTTTTATGGGAAACAGTATACAAAATTAAATGTAAGCAAAAGGAGCAGGAAGTAGCTTCTGCTCTTCCGATGAGCGCCTCTGGCTATTAATTCAAGAATTTTGTTTTTCGTTTTTTTTTTCTGTCCTATGATTGCAGCTAATTTGAGTGCTTTCAGATTATAAATCTATTGTTGTTTTTCTACTTAAGAGTTGTAGATTATGCGAGGGAAAACGAGATCTTGAATATCTCGTGGTGGTCTCTTTTCGTACCAATACTATGTATCAAGTATGTTGCATTGGGGAGAACGTGTGTGGGGTAGGGCTGTGTTTTAGCCGCTTTGTGGTATACCGGGTCAATATATAACATAGAATTTGATTTCACAATATTATGTTAATTAGCATTGCTCAAATAAGAATACCTGTACCAATCATATAGAGATGCAGCTTATTTTACTTTGAACAGCGTCCAAAAGTCCTAAAAATAAATCACTAATCCTCCCAAATACAAGTACGGGAAACCCTTTCTCTTTCTTGAAAATAAACACAAAATTAGTCTCAAATGATTTTAGATTTTCATTAGTCGACCTTAGATTTTCATTATGAAATGCACTGAAAATTTATATTAAGCCTCTCTTATCTCAGAGCTTCGAAGGACCAAATGATGCATTATATCTGATAAATTAGTAGTATACGAGAAGTAATTAGATAAAAGTAATATAGTCGTAAAAGATCTATCGAGGAAAGATTCCTACTTTCAAGGAAAGTTTCCAATAAGCATATTCTATTAAGATTTAGAGTTCAATTATAAAAGATTAAACTTCTTGTCCATATCCTTATATATTGATCTATATTTTGATATTTAATCGACGTGGAATGTATCCTTTAATACGTCTTCGTAAGCTAACGACTCGTTTGAGTAGATCAATTTGAAATTCTCATGCTTGTTTTGAATTTTAATGGGATCAAATTGTTCGTTTGAATTTAATGAGTTTTGATATTATATTTAGGTTTGGAGTTCCATATTAAAAAGTCAATTAGAAATAACATAAACTCTTGTATATTGGGTCTATACTTCAATATTTAACTTTGAAATATATTCATTAACAAACACATTCTATTCTCTTCATTATCTTCATACACGAGTGATTATATTCCTCGCTTCCATCTAATAAACCTGTAATCGCTTCCCCTCCTTCCATGTTCATGTTCTTGATCCATTTCCACCAGCAGAAGAATTGCATTGAGCTAGAAAAACGGAAGTATATGAAATGATCAGCATCTTTCTAAAATATATTCAATTTATTCATGTAATCGGGGCTATAGACCAAATGGACGCTTTGGAAAATCTCGAGAAGCGGAGTCTGAAAATATATCGTCAAAATAAGAGAAGATTACACACAAGAAATGTAGAAGATGGAGATCAAATAAAATCACAAAAAGGAAAGAATAAACTCAGAATTAGAGGTCAAACACACATGTCCGAAAAGTGTACTTGCCCCCCTTTTCCTTGAGATTGCTTAAAATACACCGACAACTACCTTGGAGGATTAATCAAATCTTGAAGGTTAATCACCAAGCAAAGATGAAGAACCTTTAAGAACTAGGAACACTTCAAAGAATTGGATGATTTGGAGTTTGAAATTGATTTATCATTTTTAATCCTCTTGTATTTCTATCTAGCAAGGTCAAAATGTATGTATAGATAGAGTAACACCTTTTGAACAAATGGACACGAAAAAACCGCCAAAAAGTAAACCACCTGTTAACAGGGCAGCGCACCTGCGTTGCTTAGGCAGCGTTCCGCCACCTCCTCCCGAGCATTCTTCCTTTGTCAATGGAGGAAATTGATATCCATTCTCCTTCACAAAATTGAGAGTCTCTCTCCAATTACAACAAAGGGGACGCTTTCAAAAGTCACACTTTGGTAGCCTGATGCCTGTGACGCTATTTCAACTACACTGATCTTTGGAACACTAATCTTCATATGGACCACGCTACACGTACATAAAGGTGCTATGTGAGTTGACACATTTTGGTACATCGATCTTGATAACACATTTTCAAATCAACTATCTCCAATTAGTTGACTCTCTCTCTCCAATTACAGCAAAGGGGACGCTTTCAAAAGTTACACTTTGGCTGTGACGCTATTTCAACTACACTGATCTTTGATTGTGATTAGAAGTATACCTGGTGCCTACACGTACATAAAGGTGCTATGTGAGTTGACACATTTTGGTACATCGATCTTGATAACACATTTTCACATCAACTGTCAGATTTTTAACACATATGAGAGTGTCAATGAAAGTGTACACTGTGTGTACAAGTAATTTAATCCATTTTCATATTTAATCGTATTTGATCACCAGGAAGAAGTGTTTTTCTTGACTCTGCCATGTTGTACTCATTATTTTTCTTTTCAACCTAAAAACAAATTTCAATTACATTCTAAAAATTGTTTTTTAAACTATGACACATTAGCGGGGGCAAAAATGTATATCCATTCAGAGAGTTCTATCACAACTAATAAGAGATGAAATGCAGTTAAAGTTTAAGTTGTAACATGTGCATATGACCCATTAGTGGGCAAAAATGAATTCTTCAACTATAATAGAGTCAATGCACATCCACACAACGTCGTTCATTTTTAAGGTTGCATAAAAATAGAGTTTTCACCAAGACGAAATCAAACTCCGACCTGGGCTCGTACTCTTCAAATTCTATTATCGGTTTGACTAGATATTCTATTATCATGACCTAAATAAATAGGGACACGGGCAAATATATTGTGGAATTATTAACGAAGCCATCTTCTCCACCAATAGGAAGCTCCTTCGGAAGGCGGTGGTGTGAGGACCTCTAGCATTGTTTCCTTCTCCCTTGGGGTTAATGGGACTCCTCTAACGAGGTTTAAAGCCATAATGTGCACATTAGTCTTTTGCCTGTGCTTTTTGTATGCCCACATTCCTCCAGCGACACCTGCAACTAAAAGCTATTTCCAGATTTCAATTTTGTGTGTTGTTAGCTCCCAGAATACGAATACAACCAAGGAGTAAGTTAGACGGGCCTCTTTAACTAACCGGTGATAACCATAGACCAGCTGTCTGCAAATCAAATTTTGGTTCATAAAGCACCGTCTCACCATACTCTTCCCCGAGCTTCTTGTAGATCTCTTTATCAGATTTCCCATCCCGAATTAACTTGAGCAGAAATCAAAGAAAAGATCAGTTCCCACATCCGTGTTGTACACGGGCATAGATTACAGGATTAAAAAAAAGAGGATGCTTAAGAAAAAGGACATATGACACAGACTTAAACTAAGTAGATTTTGTTGGTAGCAATCAGAGGAAAGTGCAATGAGCACCAAAAGAAATAAACCTTAAGAATTAGAATTGCAACTATGATAAGAAGAATACACTGAATTAAAAACAAACTCCGGGTAAAATGTTTTGCACGGATCAACATCCTCAATAATCAGCTCCATTTATTCTTTCTGAAAAACCAAAGATCCATAATTCAAAATCAAGGACAGCTAATGCACTTAATAAAATTACTCGTTCATCTATCTAGCTTAACTCTTACGAAAGATTAACAACGTAGTCATATGAGACCTCATTACAAGTGCGAACATCTAAGGGTCTGTTTGATTGTTTTAAATTCCAAGAAAAATGTCACATACAATGAATTCAATTTTTACTTTGACTGTTTGATACGAAAGTGGAAATTAATTTCAAATTCCAATGTACAACCACTTTAAGCTTGTTTTTTGCCAATTTCATGGAAAATGTATTCCTATGGGGTACTTGGATTTTTATTTTCCAACTTATATGGAATTGGAAAGCCTTTCCACCTTTGCCAATCAAACGTACCCTAAATGTAATCGATCCAGGTAATGTTTGTCTTTATGTGGGCATTTTAGTTTTTACACTTGCATTTTACAAGAGGCATATCAAATGAGAGCTCTCTATACAAAAATAAAGTACCATTTCTCCATGTAACAAGATTTTCTTAGTAGTAACGAGAGGAAGTATAACGTGCATAAGAACTATTAACCAATATACCTTTCAAAGGAGGATGGCAATGTCAGCTTGGGAGTCTTCAATCGACTGACTAGCACACTCTGTGCACCTCACATTGTGACTTATGTTTCTAGCTCGCGCTTCCACCACACGTTCCTTCTTCACTGGATCCTCCTCGCTCTCCATCCACACGTCTTTCAAATATCTACAATCCCTTTCACAACACTACTCAACAACGGCTGCAATGTCAACAAGAATTTATTGGCACTTTGAGTATGTTTAATAATAATAATAATAATAATAATAAAAAGCTATACTACTATCACTGTTGACCTTCACTCAGGTGTTTAATCAAACACTATTTGTTAATATTTTATTTTCTTTTGCGCAGGTATCTCTGCGGCATTTCAAATACTGTTATTTTATTGCAATTAAAACTATATATTGAGTCCCATTAAACTTCAATTAGCACACATCATAGCATCCACTCAAACAGAAACAAACCCCACAAAAAAATTAAAAAATCCAACAGACCCATTTCTCCACACAATTAAAATGACAAAATGACTACAGCTACTCAGCAGCTAAATACAACAATAATTAGTAAACAAATAAAGAAGGGAATTGCAAAGAAATTTTACCGGATAAAAATAAGCACGGATTAAAAGAGAGAAAAGTTTGGATTTTTCTAAGAAACAACTGCGGCTGAATTTTCATTTTTAAATTTTTTTTAGCGGGTTGGGTTTGGGGATTTAGTGGGGCCAATAATTTTTCCGTCATTTTCTCAATTTTTTTTTTTGGTATTTTTTCTTTTGTTTAATTGAAAATAAGGCCACAATCATTTTGCAATACACATTTTAATGGTAGTCGACATTGAATGAATGTGCGTGAATATTAATTAATTTAGAATTAATATTAGTCGACATTTTAATGTCTCACAATATTCACTCCACATAATTCTTCCATTACTTCGACAAGGGTTAGATATTCACAAATTAATCGTTATGCTCAAAAAAATCGCACCTTCAAAATTTTATCATCTTACTCTTGCAGATTTAAGTATATAAGTCGAGACGGTCAGAACTCAGAAGAGTACATGGAAAAGCATAAACTTACCCAGGGACGGACCCGGCCTTAAAGTTCTGCCCGGACGGATGTTGACCAGTCAACGTCTCAATCACCATTCACCGCCACCTCCAAATCCAGTCTAGATTAACATTTTCATTTTTTGTCTAATCCATCTTAGAATGCCCACACATTGCAGCACTTTAGCAAGGAAAAAAAATTAATTTTCCTTTTTCATAATGAGGAATCAGGAATGAGATTGAGGGTCCCTAACTCACTGGGCAGAAGGTGGATTTTATGCAGACGCCAAATGTATTGGAAATAAGGTTTAATGTTTCAACACTATCTTATTTTAAATGGTGAATAAATTATGAGGAGAACCAAGTACCAAGTATACGGTATGCTAATAGGTATTATCAAATTTATCAGCAAAGATGTCAGACAAACATGAAATTTTTGCATTTCATTGCACAATTTGCACTTCAATTTCATAGAATATCACTGTTCAGAACAATTTGCACTTAAAAAATTACAGCATACTCAATCAAAACAACTTACGGTTTCTTTCACCAAATCTCACGGAGTCACGGGCCGCGGATGAGTGGCGAGTACTTGAGTCTGCTGCGCCGGAGAGTGGAGACGAGCGAATTCTACAGAAGAGAGATTGGGGAAAATGAAAAATTGGGAATTTATGGATTGATTTCAAATGAAGGGAAAATGGGATTTGGGTTGGGCTTATATATAAGGAAATTACACAATACCCTACTTTTAAAATCCTCAATTCTAAAATCAGGTGGTAAGTTTCAAATTTCATAAATAAGATATTTTATTTCATTTAATATTTTTATAAAATAGATAAATATATTTATAAAATATATATACTCCAATACATACATCACAAACCCTAATTAATCCTCACACTCATCTCTCTCTCTCTTTACCACAACCCGTCGCCTTCCTCCATCCTCTCTCTACACAACCGTCTCTGCCCACAGTCTATCCTCTTCTTCCTTCTCTCTCATCTCAATCCCGTCTCTTTTCTGATCTCCCTCTCCTTCATTGTCGTCACCGCAGCACCCTTACTGGATGTGAGCGCTGCCGCCATCACAACTACGATCGCCTTCGTAATGAAGAGAAGATGGCTTGGCGAAGCTGATCCGTCGGCTCCGCTGCAAATACTGCAAAGAGCGATGATTAGTGCCACTGCTCGAAGCCGATGTGTGCTCTGCTTAGTGGGTCTACTGCTGTCGAAGATTTGTTATTCTTTAAGTTTTGATGGTGTTCTGTGGTGATGGTGGTGTTTGTAGATCTGGCGGTTGGGGTGGGTTTTATTGAATTTGGTAGTAGTTTTGGTGTCGTTGGGGGAGGGTTTTGGTGGTGGTGGTGCAGATGGTGGTTGTTGAAATGATTTGTGTGGTGGTGGTGGTGTGGTGGCGGTTTGACTGTGGAGGTGGCGACGGCTTTGGTGGTGATGTTTGGTGGTGATGGTTTTTGGTGGTGGTGGAGGTGTTTGTTGGTGGTGGTGTTGGTGGTGGCGGCGTGACTCACAATTAATTAAGTTGTGATTGAAAAATTAATCTGTGATCGAGAAATAAGTTGTGACCAATAATTTGATAATACGTGACTAATGAAATAAACCGTGACATACAAAATTTTTTATTTGTGACCTCTAAATAATTTGTGACCTACAAAATTTTTGATCTGTGACCGATAAACAAATTGTGACTTGAGTTGTGACCTGAGCTGTGACCTGTGACCTGAGTTGTGACCTGGGCTGTGACTTGTGAATTGAACTGTGACCTGGGCTGTGACTTGTAAATTGAAC